AAAAAATTCACACTCTTATACACTTATATTGTACGAAGATTGCCAATTGCAGTAGCGCGCAGTGTTTTATATTAGTCTTATATTTCTATTGCGCCCATGACCGTCGAGAGCTCTCGTTAGGATTTGGTTAGACATTTGTCTATAATTTTTTGTACCGCGCATATTTTTTATCATACACACACATATATCTACATACATATTTATTTGCCATAAACATACTTGCATGTTGGCACATATGTATAAAGAACCGCATTGGCCGTTGGCAAGCCTTCTTTATTTCGTTTTTATATAAAAATTCTTGTTCCATGTTTACATTGTTTGCACTCACACTCAATCACACTGAAATATATGTATGTTTGTGGCCACATAAACTGAAAATTAATTGTTAATTTTAATGGTCGCACCGTTGGTGATGATGCATTAAAGCAGCATCAGTAGGGGCGGGAGACTCACCTTTGCCATGGAATAGCCCAAGCACGGCCCAAATAAAGGGTATCCAAGAAACATTTTGCCTTTGGATACAGGCAGGGTGGGTACGCCTGGGATAACAACAGCAAAATCCCACACAGTTGTCCGATACCACAATTTCTATCCGTCCGCACGTATATAATCTCCTTGTATTCGTATTCGTACGGGTAGCTTGAGGGAGTTAGCCGTTTATTTGTTTTTTTGTCGCATTACGTTTCTTTTAGTTTATGTTAGTTTTTATACTCTGTACATGAAATGTACAAGAGTATATTAGGTTTGCGGGAGCTGAAAAATGTAACAGGCAGAAGGAGGCGTGGCAGACCCCACAAAGTATATATATTCTTGATCAGCATGACGAGACGAGTCGATCTAGCCCTGTCTGTCTGTCTGTCCGTCTGTCCGTCCGTATGAACACCTGGATCTCAGAGACTATAAGAGATAGAGACACCAAATTTTGCACGAAGATGCGTTATGTGTGTATTCTATACGAGTTTGTTTTATTTTTTTGATTTTCCCCCCCACTTCCCCCTATGGGGGTTTTCCCGATTTTCCATTTGTATAATCGCCTATATCTCGGAGACTATAAGACCTAGGAACACCAAATTTTAGTCCCAGATGCCTTATGTGAATACGCAGAAAATGTATATTTTGGAATTCCCCTCCCTCCCCCCTCTACCCCGCAAATCGTAACTCCCGTAATTCTTGGAATTTCGAAATACCCCCAGTTAGTTATTATGTGTCCGTATGCCAAATTTCATTATGATAGACCGATTTAACGAGAAGTTATAGCCATAAATATATTTGCTGATGCAGCGCTGCTGCAGCGCTGCTCAAGCGCTGCCCGCGGCTCTTGTTGATGTTGCTGTTTGGTTGACTGCGAAAATGCTTACACAGACACGAATTGATGCGCATAGGCATACATACACTCACACAGACGCAATTGCTATGTAAATGTGCAATTATACACCCTTTACGTGAGTTCGAATACCGAGAGAGGTAAAATCGATCAAATTTTTTTTTTTATTTTCTTAATTTTTTTTATTTTCTATAATTATTGTAAACATATGTACAGAGTATTTCAAAGTCGGGACACCCGACTTTAGCTTTATTACTTGTTTTGGATTGTTTACGTTTTGAATTCGGTTTTGTATATTGCGCGTCGAATTTATTGTAGTGATGGCATTTTGTTTATCGATGGAGGAACCGTGTTATCGGTTATTGTACGACTCACGCGGGCATAGGGTTGGAACCACACACCCAAGGAGAATTCCGATGAGCCAGCCGGCGTTGCCCAAGAGGAAAAGCGTAGTCGTAACAATATGGCGCCCAATTTGGATGTTTGAATTTTTAATGCCAAGGAGTAGGTGGAGTTGTTTAGGGCCCTGTACCACGTTTGGGGAGGAGTCTAGGCAGCCGCCGTACGCAGGCTGAGAATTTAGATAGGAAAAAAATAAATTAAGCCGATGGCTAGGGGCCGACGATCGGTATGGTAGGGACGGAATCCCTTATAGCACCAACTGCAAGCGTGTGTGACATGGACAGTAAGTCACGAAGGTGCGAGTATGAGCCCTTCGTTTGCGACTGCCATTTGGAACGACGCTAGGCAATGGGTACTATGGGGGGATTCCAATGCGCGTTTTTTTTTTGTTATTTCGTTTCAGTGTTTTTGTTGTATTTCTTGCGTCAATTCGTTGGTGCACTGTCGCTGTGGTGTCATCGTGTTTGCCTGGTGGACGTAGAGTACCGGTGGCCCAGGATGACAAGGAAAGTCGCCTGCGATGCACCGCTACGCACGGTGAGCCAGAGCAGATGGTGCACAAAACAGAATTGGGTGTCAAGAAGCAACCATTTAATTTGTTGGCTGTCGTTCATCGCCGTCAAGGCGATAAATGTAGCAGCGAACAAATATAGCAGGATTGTGGCGTAGGGCAGCTGTAACAGGCGTAGATATTATAGGAGCCGTGTTTGGGTTCCGGCGGAGTGTGAGTCTCAGCCCCTATATACAGAAGTTTAAAAGAAAATTTGTTTGTTTATTGCTTACATATTATTAGGTCTTTTTGGTTACGTTTGGTGCATATACATATGTTACATTTGTCTTGTGGTTGAGCGTATATATTTTTTTTTTGGTTTCCGTGCAAAGTTGGACGTGAATTTATTTAAAGATTTGTTTTTTTATTTTTACTACTATATTCATATTTATTTATTCCAATTCACATATTTATCTATTTATTGTTGTACCTATTTATTTATTTATTTATCCATCATACATATTCAACGTACATCTACATATTTTCTTGCCCATTTGTTTTTGTTGTTTTGGGCGTTTGCAAACATTTTCATTGTTTGGAATACATATATACAATTATCCAATTAATACGAATTTTTCTTCGGGGCCTGCTTGAAAGCTGAATAAATTCATAATCCAAAATATAAATAAATATTATAAAAAAACAGAGCGTATTTTTTTTGGATTGAAATGGAGAAGGATTCTGCGCGGGCGTATAACACAAGGTCGAGAACTGCCAGAAATGATGATCTGGAGGAACACCTAGAAGGAGCCGTAGGTTTTTCCACCGGTGGCCTCATGCACACTCCTCCGAGGCCGTCCATAGCACCAGCAGTACACTGGGACGCCGAGCCAGTAGTCGCGTCGGTGGTAGAAGCAGCAGTGGCCCAGGCGAACGAAACATACCGCCAATCGCAAAAAGATGGCATCAACAAAGTGTTGCAGGAGGAAATCCGAATGGGGTTTCAAGACTTGATGGGCGCGTTGAAAGAAGTTTTGCAACCGCGAGCGAATAGCGGCGATTCAGCTGCAAATGGAGCATGGCAACCGCCAGTCAGCCAGAATCGGGGTGCGGTGCCAAAACGGCCGCATCAATACCAGGCTGAACCTCTAACACCAGCAAGAGGAACTTCGCGTCCAGTAGCAAGGCCAGCGGCAGCTAATTCCTCCAGTGGAGCTGGCAATAGCAGCAGCACAGCTCGAAATTGGCAAAATCCCGCAGCACAGTCGGCCCGTCGAAGAGGCAACGGGCGTAACGATGGGAGTGGTCAGCTGGACCCGCCTCCTCCGTATGTAGCGGCGAATGGCAGATCCGGATGGTGCCGCGTCGAAAAGTGGGACATCGTTTTCAGCGGCGATAAGGAAAAAATGGCTGTTGAAGACTTCGTTTTCCAGGTCGAGTTCCTTCAGAGGCAGTGTCGCTGCGCATGGTCCGAAGTATTAAACAGTTTCCATCTGTTAGTAACTGGGCACGCTCGCGAGTGGTACTGGCAGTACGTCAGGGACCACCGGGCAGACAGCTGGCCAGAACTAAAACGAAGCATGCTGTCCCGTTTTAAAGGCGCCGCCGATGAATTCGAGCGCATGCGTCAATTGCGCGAAAGACGGCAGAAGGCAAGCGAAAGCGTTGAGGAGTACTTCCATGCCATGAGGAAACTGGCGTCGCGTCTCCACACAGCACCATCTGAAAACGAGATGATGAAATATATAAAAAAAGGATTAAAAAAAGAACTAGCTCGTTATGTGTATGCGATGCGCGTGTACACGGTAGACCACTTACGTGACGAATGCGTAGAGGTGGAAGCTATGGTCCAGCGGCGAGAAGGCGTGTTCCCAACACGCAGCGGCACACGTTTTAGTGGCGGAAACCGTCCACCGGCAGTGGAGGAGTTGGTCGACGACACTAACGGCGAGGAGTCGGCGGATTTCGGCGTAGTTGAAGAGGCGCGTTTGGCAAGGCGTCCGCAACAGGCGTTAGTTTGCTGGAACTGCAGACAAGCCGGCCATAGTTTCCGCGACTGCATGTCACCGGAAAGGCGCGTCTTCTGTTATAGGTGTGGCAGGCCCGACACCTATAGCCCAACCTGTCCCGATTGCACGGGAAACGGCCGTCGGAGTGCGGAGCAAGTGGGCGAATCGCGCTCGACACAGGTGCCCACCAGGATGACAGCGGAGCGGTCCTGAAAGAAGAATTTCATAAGATAAATACCCCATTTAGTAATAAGTTGAAATTTTTACCGTACGAGGAAAAGATGCGGGCATATCTGGAGGCGCGCAATAGAATTTTTGCCCAACATCAGTTAGATGGGATGAGGATGGTGACAGCCAAAGTTAAAAAGGCCCGAGCACGATTCCGAGTGAGAAGGCAGACGAAGAAGCTGGTAGCCGAGGCAGTGCGACGCGAAGGAGCAGCAGATCCGAGGATTTTTGCCGAAGTACTGGTACGAGGCCACGTGCTACGCGGTTTGCTGGATACCGGGGCCTCGGTAAGCGTGCTAGGCAAGGGCAGTCTGGAACTGCTGAAAGAGATTGGCATGGTGCCCAGAAATTACATTTCGATAATTAAAACAGCAGGCGGTGAAGACAGAGCCGTAATTGGGCGAGTGCGTTTACCAGTGGTGTATCGAGAGGAGGCCAAAGAAGTGGAGTTTTACGTATGCCCATCACTCGAACAGAACGCGTATTTCTGCATCGACTTTTGGCGGCTGTTTAATTTGGCACCACTATTAATTCCTCCAGAAAAGCCAGCCGACTTGTCCTCGATGAATTGCTAGCTGATAGAGTGGCGCATTATGCGGACCAGGATGAAGTAAGGCCGGAACCAGATATGTGGAAATTGAATGAACAACAAAAGCTGCAATTGGAACAAGTAAAAAAAGAATTTTTAACCTTCGAAGAAGCGGGATTAGGCAGGACTACTTTGGAGACTCACCGAATTGAATTGGTCAGCGGAGCAGAGCCAGTGAAAGACAGGCACTACCCTCTATCACCCGCTATGCAGAAGATTGTGTGGGATGAGGTGGACAGCATGCTGGCGCTTGGCGTCATCGAGGTAAGCGATAGTCCGTGGAGTAACCGCACCACCATAGTGCGACGGCCGGGCAAGAACCGCTTTTGCCTCGATGCCCGCAAGTTGAACAAACTGACAGTCAAAGATGCCTATCCGCTACCATGCGTGGAGGGAATCCTATCTGGAATCGATCAGACGTATTATATTTCCAGTGTGGACCTGAAATTTGCGTTTTGGCAGGTGGAGTTGGAGGAGTCCAGTAGAAGGTGCACTGCGTTTACGGTACCAGGGCGACCGTTGTACCAATTCCGCATGATGCCTTTCGGGTTGTGTAACGCCGCTCAAAGGTTGTGCCGGCTGATGGACAAGGTCATACCGAATGAACTGAGGTCCAACGTTAAAGTATATCTGGACGATTTGGTAGTCTTCGCGGGTGATTTTGATACGCACTTGGAGTACCTGAAGAGAGTAGCTGAATGCCTCAAGAAGGCAAATCTGACGATAGGGTTACAAAAGTCGAAGTTTTGCTTTAAAACGTTGAAATACCTGGGATTTATCGTGGGCGGCGGCGTGCTTCGAACAGATCCAGAACGGGTACAGGCGATACAGCGCATACAGGTGCCAAGGTCCGTAAAGGAGGTTCGAGCTTTCTTAGGAACCGCCGGGTGGTACAGGCGATTTATTAAAGATTTTGCCACCTTAGCGGCTCCACTCACTGAGGCTTTGAAAAAGCGATCGGGAGGTCGGTTCTCACTCGGTGGCGAAGCTATTGCAGCATTTGAGGCGTTGAAGAAGGCGCTCACATCTGCGCCAGTGCTGGTACACGCGGATTTTTCACGCCCATTTTTTGTACAATGTGACGCATCCCATATTGGCGTCGGAGCCGTATTATTCCAGGTGGATTTGCAGGGAAACGAGAGGCCCATTGCGTTCTTTTCTGCCAAGATGAACAAGCACCAGGTGAACTACTCGGTGACCGAGAAGGAGTGCTTGGCGGCGGTATTGGCGATACAAAAATTCCGGCCATACATCGAAATGATGCCATTCACGGTCATAACCGATCACGCCAGTTTGAAATGGCTGATGTCCATGAAGGATTTGTCCGGGCGATTGGCTCGTTGGTCGTTGCTGCTCCAGGGCTTCGACTTTGAAATCACGCACCGGAAGGGCTCCGACAACATCGTGGCGGATATGCTGTCCAGAAGCACCGAAGCCGAAACTTTAGAGGAGTTGGATTTCTTCCCAGGAGACCTGTTGGGTATCGAAACCGCAGAATTCGAATCAGAGGAGTATCGGGAGCTGATTAGCGAAATTCAAAGTCAAAAAGATAAATTACCTGATTTAAAAATTGAAAACGGGGTGATCTACAAAAAGACATCCTTCAATCGGCTAGAAGATCAGCTCGAAGGCAGTGTGTGGAAACTGTGGGTTCCGCGTTCGCTAACCGGCATGCTTATATCGAAGGCCCATACCGAAGCGTCAACGCATGGAGGAGTGTTGAAGACGTTGTCCTGGTTGCGGCGGCAGTTTTATTGGCCGGGAATGGCCAAAGACGTTGCTGAAGTGGTCCGAAAATGCGTGGTCTGCAAAGAGACGAAAGCCACCAATTACGGGATGCAGGTGGGAATTGGTGCAGAAGTCGTCACGGAGAGGCCGTTCCAGAAGTTATACATAGACTTCTTGGGCAAGTATCCGCGATCAAGGAAGGGGCACGCCTTCATATTCATAGTGGTAGATCACTTCACCAAATTCACGTTCCTGAAGGCGATGCGAGAGGCCACCACTCGGAGCGTCGTCGACTTCTTGGTGAACGAAGTGTTCCATACGTTCGGCGTTCCAGAAGTCATACACTCCGATAATGGTAAGCAATTCACGTCCAAGCAGTTTACAGACATGATGGAGGGCTACGGTGTTAAGCATCTGCGGACACCGGTGTATTCGCCGCAAAGCAACGCGTCCGAAAGGGTGAACCGGACTATACTGTCCGCGATACGGGCGTATCTGGGGCAGGATCACCGCGAGTGGGACCTATACCTTCCGGAAATTGAAGTGGCCATCAGAAACAGCGTGCATTCTGCGACTGGAGTAACGCCTTTTTTCGCACTATTCGGCCGACATATTATGTTGCACGGTTCGCAGTACCGATTGGCGAGGAAATTAAGGTCCTTAGACGAGCACGAATTCGCAGCGTTGAGTACAGCAGACAGGCAATCCCTGTTGCAACAGAAAATCCAGGCACAATTGCATGCGGCGTATGAGCGCAGTAGCGTTTGCTATAACCGGCGTGCGCGGCGGCTAAGACTAGCGCCCGGTCAGGAGGTATACCGGCGAAACTTTGCATTGAGTGATTTCAGTCGCGCGTTCAATGCGAAATTCGCGCGGAAATTTCTAAAAGCTCGCGTAAGGAAATCCATCGGCACCAACGCATACGAGCTGGAAGATTTGCAAGGGAACTTGCTGGGGGTATTCCACGCAAAGGATATCCGAGTGTGACGCCTGTCCTAAGGCAGAATGGATGAATATAGGGAGGAGGATGCAGCCAGAGCTACTCACCTGAAGACCAAGAGTGGGTGTGGCCTACGTTGGGCGCCGCGGTAGTAGTCATCCGAGGCAACGCCGGACTCGAAGCAGAGGACACCAACAACACCAGCCGTTTGATGCGCGCAAACATCACTTCGGGGCACGAGCGTCCGCCCACTTGGATATTTGCGGTGGTGTTGCATCGGGCTGGTCACGAAGAATAAAAGGTGGCAGCGCTACGGAAGGCGCCAAGAATTTATAAAGGTACTGCAGCGCCATCTAGCGGTACCGAGCGATGCACCATGGTGGCAACTGCAGCCGCGCAGGCGCAGGGTTGTGTCCCGATGGCACCTCAAAGTGGGGAAACGTCAAGGCCGTGATGAACGGATGCGCAAGGACGTAAAAATCCGCAGGCATACGACATCCGGCCTATAAAAGGCAAGCCGCAACACGCCATTCCTGTTTTAGGGGCGACGGTGCAGACCCACGAGGCAGTGTTTTCTTTTGGGTAAACTGGAGGCCGTGCTGAAACCTGCAAAAGGAAAGGAAGGACCAGAAGCCGTTCGAAGATTTTCCGGCATATCGCCAAGTTTTTGGACAGCGGATAACCGGACACAGCAGCTGCAGCGGCTGTCATAAGTAGCAGCACGAGCTGCATCGTAGCAGGAGCAACAGCGACAGCAGCAGATCCAGCACCAGCGTCTTCAACGACAGCAGCAGATCCAGCACCAGCGTTTTCAACGGCAGCAGCAGCAACGACAGTGGCAGCCGGAGCAAAGGCGCCCACCCAAGAAGTAGCAGCAGCAATAGCGGCGCCACCACAACGCAACAGCAGACACGCCCGTCTGCGCCATCAGCAGCGGAGGATAGAAAAGCCGGTGAGTCCGTTCCTTGGCCACGCGCCGTGCCTATTGTTCGCGGTTGAGCAGCGACATCAGGCAGAGATCCCGCGCGCCTTATGTCGTGTCGTTTGTATGGGCTGCGCCTGCAGGGTCCCACACGCCGCCCATTGAAGTTTCTGCAAAAGAAAAAAAAAAAGAAGATAAAACAAAATATATATACATAGATAATTAAAACCAAAACGAGGCAGAAAGTGGCACCTAGACAGAGCTTGGCGCTCTATTTAATTAATAAAAAATTCACACTCTTATACACTTATATTGTACGAAGATTGCCAATTGCAGTAGCGCGCAGTGTTTTATATTAGTCTTATATTTCTATTGCGCCCATGACCGTCGAGAGCTCTCGTTAGGATTTGGTTAGACATTTGTCTATAATTTTTTGTACCGCGCATATTTTTTATCATACACACACATATATCTACATACATATTTATTTGCCATAAACATACTTGCATGTTGGCACATATGTATAAAGAACCGCATTGGCCGTTGGCAAGCCTTCTTTATTTCGTTTTTATATAAAAATTCTTGTTCCATGTTTACATTGTTTGCACTCACACTCAATCACACTGAAATATATGTATGTTTGTGGCCACATAAACTGAAAATTAATTGTTAATTTTAATGGTCGCACCGTTGGTGATGATGCATTAAAGCAGCATCAGTAGGGGCGGGAGACTCACCTTTGCCATGGAATAGCCCAAGCACGGCCCAAATAAAGGGTATCCAAGAAACATTTTGCCTTTGGATACAGGCAGGGTGGGTACGCCTGGGATAACAACAGCAAAATCCCACACAGTTGTCCGATACCACAATTTCTATCCGTCCGCACGTATATAATCTCCTTGTATTCGTATTCGTACGGGTAGCTTGAGGGAGTTAGCCGTTTATTTGTTTTTTTGTCGCATTACGTTTCTTTTAGTTTATGTTAGTTTTTATACTCTGTACATGAAATGTACAAGAGTATATTAGGTTTGCGGGAGCTGAAAAATGTAACAGGCAGAAGGAGGCGTGGCAGACCCCACAAAGTATATATATTCTTGATCAGCATGACGAGACGAGTCGATCTAGCCCTGTCTGTCTGTCTGTCCGTCTGTCCGTCCGTATGAACACCTGGATCTCAGAGACTATAAGAGATAGAGACACCAAATTTTGCACGAAGATGCGTTATGTGTGTATTCTATACGAGTTTGTTTTATTTTTTTGATTTTCCCCCCCACTTCCCCCCTATGGGGGTTTTCCCGATTTTCCATTTGTATAATCGCCTATATCTCGGAGACTATAAGACCTAGGAACACCAAATTTTAGTCCCAGATGCCTTATGTGAATACGCAGAAAATGTATATTTTGGAATTCCCCTCCCTCCCCCCTCTACCCCGCAAATCGTAACTCCCGTAATTCTTGGAATTTCGAAATACCCCCAGTTAGTTATTATGTGTCCGTATGCCAAATTTCATTATGATAGACCGATTTAACGAGAAGTTATAGCCATAAATATATTTGCTGATGCAGCGCTGCTGCAGCGCTGCTCAAGCGCTGCCCGCGGCTCTTGTTGATGTTGCTGTTTGGTTGACTGCGAAAATGCTTACACAGACACGAATTGATGCGCATAGGCATACATACACTCACACAGACGCAATTGCTATGTAAATGTGCAATTATACACCCTTTACGTGAGTTCGAATACCGAGAGAGGTAAAATCGATCAAATTTTTTTTTTTATTTTCTTAATTTTTTTTATTTTCTATAATTATTGTAAACATATGTACAGAGTATTTCAAAGTCGGGACACCCGACTTTAGCTTTATTACTTGTTTTGGTTTGTTTACGTTTTGAATTCGGTTTTGTATATTGCGCGTCGAATTTATTGTTGTGATGGCATTTTGTTTATCGATGGAGGAACCGTGTTATCGGTTATTGTACGACTCACGCGGGCATAGGGTTGGAACCACACACCCAAGGAGAATTCCGATGAGCCAGCCGGCGTTGCCCAAGAGGAAAAGCGTAGTCGTAACAATATGGCGCCCAATTTGGATGTTTGAATTTTTAATGCCAAGGAGTAGGTGGAGTTGTTTAGGGCCCTGTACCACGTTTGGGGAGGAGTCTAGGCAGCCGCCGTACGCAGGCTGAGAATTTAGATAGGAAAAAAATAAATTAAGCCGATGGCTAGGGGCCGACGATCGGTATGGTAGGGACGGAATCCCTTATAGCACCAACTGCAAGCGTGTGTGACATGGACAGTAAGTCACGAAGGTGCGAGTATGAGCCCTTCGTTTGCGACTGCCATTTGGAACGACGCTAGGCAATGGGTACTATGGGGGGATTCCAATGCGCGTTTTTTTTTTGTTATTTCGTTTCAGTGTTTTTGTTGTATTTCTTGCGTCAATTCGTTGGTGCACTGTCGCTGTGGTGTCATCGTGTTTGCCTGGTGGACGTAGAGTACCGGTGGCCCAGGATGACAAGGAAAGTCGCCTGCGATGCACCGCTACGCACGGTGAGCCAGAGCAGATGGTGCACAAAACAGAATTGGGTGTCAAGAAGCAACCATTTAATTTGTTGGCTGTCGTTCATCGCCGTCAAGGCGATAAATGTAGCAGCGAACAAATATAGCAGGATTGTGGCGTAGGGCAGCTGTAACAGGCGTAGATATTATAGGAGCCGTGTTTGGGTTCCGGCGGAGTGTGAGTCTCAGCCCCTATATACAGAAGTTTAAAAGAAAATTTGTTTGTTTATTGCTTACATTTTATTAGGTCTTTTTGGTTACGTTTGGTGCATATACATATGTTACATTTGTCTTGTGGTTGAGCGTATATATTTTTTTTTTGGTTTCCGTGCAAAGTTGGACGTGAATTTATTTAAAGATTTGTTTTTTTATTTTTACTACTATATTCATATTTATTTATTCCAATTCACATATTTATCTATTTATTGTTGTACCTATTTATTTATTTATTTATCCATCATACATATTCAACGTACATCTACATATTTTCTTGCCCATTTGTTTTTGTTGTTTTGGGCGTTTGCAAACATTTTCATTGTT